TAAATCTGCTCTTCCCTCTCTGTCAGTTATCATTTCAGGTGTCAACGCACAACCCGCCTCCACCCCTTTGCCTCGTGTCTCCTAATTCAGGGCCAAGCTAATCCTTCTTCCTCCAGACCAGACCGAACCACTTATCACCACCACCAGTGTCTAGACCCCGGGGGGTTCATCGGAGCGGTTTTCCCCTCCCGAATGATTATCCTACAAACCGGGGCCTAATCTCCAAACATCAGTTGATTCATTGTTGTAATCTGTCAATCATAATTTTCTATACCACGTGTCCGGTAATAAACATGTATTTCATACATCACGTCTCTCCCGTTTGAACTCTTTTTGAAATGCCGGAAAGATAACTCCTCACTTGAAGAATCTGAATAAATGCTATTTGAGTAAATCATATTGTAACGAACGCTGTTCAAAGGATTTCACGTCTTTATCACCGAACATGTTTTGATCACGATGTGTTCGAGTTTAAAATCAGATCTATATCATTTCCCCCCAATAACAGAGTTATGTCTTAATGCTGATATACTGGGAACATCTGATGGTATCAAGTTGAACATATTGAAACTGTATTGGTTTGTTAATTGTGTTTGTGTGCGCAGTAAATGTTCAGAAGCTCAGAGAAGCCAAAACATCCTTCATCCATCATTCACATCCAAATATTAACTAACATTTAAATATGTACATCTCTAATATCGTCAAGTGGTTCATTTAATTTCTGTTTCTTTTGGTAACAGTCAGTGACAGCAGGAGCACAGACATGTGATCAGATCACACTGACTACTCATTACACTCTATTATAATATATTATTGTATATTATATTAAATGGACTAACAGCAAAGGTCTATCAGAACATGTCACATCTTTTTTTCATCAAATGCTTGAGGTTAATATAATGTTTCCTCTCTTTTTAACACATGTTGTAATATATGTTTTATTATAGACTTGCTGGCTGGATAATCACAGAGACTGACTGTGAAGTCGTGGCCTCAGCTCTGAAGTCTGACCCCTCCCATCTGAGAGATCTGGAGCTGAGTCACATCCCTCTGCAGGTTTCAGGAGTGGAGCTGCTGATTTCTGGACTAAAGAGTCCAAACTGCAGACTGGAGGCTCTCAGGTCAGTTCACTGACTGCAGTTCATATTGATCTGTTTGTGTTTATGATTTTCTGAATTTGAACAAATACAATGTTATTGTTATTTGTTCCGTTTCTGCTAATGACTGAATATTGATCAGAGTAACAGAGAGAAGGTGAATGTGTGAGGGAGAGAGTTTGAGCTTCCACAGACTCACCCTGTGCTCCAGGAGTCAGTGGAGATGCTGTCAGTACTGAGGAGCTGTGAGGGAGATGAAGGAGTTGTTCAACATCTGATCAAAGTTAAAGTTCCAGATTATCAGTGGATTGTTTCTGCATCATCTCTGACATTAAAACCCTGTTTGACTTTGAACAGATTATTAAACATTGAGTTATTTCAAACAGGAACTTTGTTTTCTAAACTTACATCATGGTTTCTTTATTCAGTCTGAGGAGCTGCAGGTTGTCAGAGATCAGCTGTTCTGCTCTGATCTCAGCTCTGAAGTCCAACATCCATCTGAGAGATCTGGACCTGAGTAAGAACGCTCTGCAGGATTCAGATGTGAAGCTGCTGAGAGATCTTCTGGAGAGTGCAGACTGCAGACTGGAGACTCTCAGGTCAGTAAGGGGTCTCTGCTGGTTCAGCAGTATTGTATGAAACACAGGGAGGTGTTTCTCTCACTGGGGAAACAGATCAGTGATGTTACCCACTGACTGCAGGCTCTCTCATTCTTCCATCAACTAGAGAAGGCCAGCTGGAAATGCAAAGCCACGTTTAGTTCAATCAGGAGAGCTTTTGATGTAATAATACATATTTATTGCGCAGATGCACAAATGAATGTAATGGTAATTTTGGTGATTAGGCCCCGGGAAGGGCTGTAATCATTCGGGAGGGTAGAGCCGATCCGATGAAACCCCCCTGGGGTCTAGACACTGGTGGTGGTGAATGGATAGTTGGGGTCGGTCTGAAGGGGAGGGTGTTTAGAGTCGGAGAGGTCCTCATAATTTATTCCGGTAAATTACTCTGACCTACTAATTGACCTTTCCGAAGTTATTGAGTCTATGTAAGGTTGCTGCTTGGCTCAGATCCACCAACGTCAGCAAGATCTCACCTCTATAACTCCCCGAAGAACCTAGGTTCAATTAACTGCTGTTTCAATTCAGACAACTCTTTTTTAATATGTTTAAGGGATCCCGAAGGATTTTGATATCAGTAAATGGAGTGTGCTCCTACCTAAGTGTGAGTGTGGCAGGGTGCAATCTTACCTTTGAAGCAGGAGAGGAGTGCACAGGTTGTCTTTTAAATTATCCCAGTCCAAAAGGTGGGATCAGTTTATTTGAAGAAAAATAGGTCCAAACTAATACAGGGTTTTTACCTTCTCTCTTTACAACATTATAATCATACTAAAAAAATGGTGCTGTGATCATGTTCAAATATGAAACTTTAATTCACAGTCTTACATTTATTACCAAAATGTTTTAATTTCAACTGCCCAATTCAGTTGTGACATTTTAAAATCTCCCGATAGAATTTAGAGGTATTTCCTCATAAAAAGACCGGTGACAATAAAAAGCGCATTCAACTTTTTATTCACCAAATCAATTCACATCAGTTTCATACCTTTTTTTCCGACACAGACGGCGGGTATAACATTCAAAAACCCATTCCTATCCGCATTAATTCGGAGGAAGATTCCTCACAGGTCGCGGGTTATAATATTCATACACTTTTTCCGACACAGACGGCGGATTTAACATTCAAAAACCCATTCCTATCCGCATTAATTCGGAGGAAGATTCCTCACAGGTGGCGGGTTATAATATTCACAAACACATCTCTCATCAAATCATTCCACTCAGCCAACAACCAAGAAATTTGAGAGATATTTACCACGTGTGTGAGGACCTTACCGAGAGCTATTAACCCAGCTCTGAAGGACACAGCCTACCGGGAGAGAGTCTACCAGGGGTTTCCCCCCCTCTCTCTCGCGCTCTCTCAAAAAACCAGTCTCTTTATGCTCAAAAAACTGGATCGAAACCCCAAAAAAACAAACTCCTCCTCTACACCCAATTTGTGGAAAACTGGGCATGCCCTCTAATGTACAAGGCTGGACATGACCCGACATGTTCCATATCTTATGGCATAAGATACACCTTCCCATGTTAGTGTAAAAAGGACATGACCCCTTTAGGCCTCTAATGTGTTTCTCCTTAAGCTTGGAGCCCCCCTCCCTGTGAACTGCTGCCAGAGGAGAGGGAGAAAACGGCCTATCTCTTATCCAAAACACCCATAACTCTTTTTAGGCTGTACACTCAACTTAACAAACCACTTGGTTTTGTTTATACTGTAACTATAGAAAAACCTAAAATATGAAGTATTTTTCATTGTGGGTTATACAAAAATATAATTGATTATATTTGATTATAACTAACTTTCGTTTTAAGTATTAAACATACTATGAAAACTCACAACACCCTCTTTTCAAAACGCAAAGTTATCAAATAGCAACAGAAAAAATTGTAAGCATACATAGGCTACATATTCAAAAACCGTCAAGAAGCATTCTCATTATGGGTTTATACAAGAATATGATTGATCATATATGATTTATAATTAACTTTCGTTTTTAAGTATTCACTTCATACTATGATCTCAACAAGCGGCTTAGCTTGACCCTGGTAGTGGTGAATGGATAGTTGGGGTCGGTCTGAAGGGGAGGGGCTTAGCTTGACCCTGGTGGTGGTGAATGGATAGTTGGGGTCGGTCTGAAGGGGAGGGGCTTAGCTTGACCCTGGTGGTGGTGAATGGATAGTTGGGGTCGGTCTGAAGGGGAGGGGCTTAGCTTGACCCTGGTGGTGGTGAATGGATAGTTGGGGTCGGTCTGAAGGGGAGGGGCTTAGCTTGACCCTGGAATCAGAGGGACAGTGTTACGGCCTATAGAATTTTGGACCCCAAAGCAAAAGACTGGAGAGAGATGGTCAATAAACAAAAAGCTTTATTCAAGCAGAAAACAGAAAATACGGCAGTGGAGTCAGGAAGTTGGCTGGCACTGAGTCGTCAGGGACAGGAGGCAAAAATCCAAACACTTAATCCAAACGACGAGGAGAGCAGCGAGACACACCGGAGGGTCGAAACACAGAGGAATTATCTGGCAGGGAAGTGGCATGAGGACCGGGCTTATAAATCTACAGGTGAAGAGGTGAGTGGAAACAGGTGTGCCTCGTCTGCTCCTGGGAGGAGCCAGCCAACTCCCTGTCACACGCCAGCCCTGCAGAGGAACACAGAGAAGAGAGGGGTGAGACAGGAAAAAGCACACAAAAGCACACAACAAAAATAAAACTAAACAGAATCATAACAGACAGGAGGTGAAAAGGGGTGGAGGAGGGTTGCGTCGAGTCACCTGAAATGACAGCTGTCAGAGGGGGAAGAGCAGATTTAAAAGGTTTGACAGAGCGTTATGATAGGCTCTTGGGAATAGAGCTAGGTGATTGGTTAAGCTGAAGAGTGACGCCCCCGGTCACTTATTGAGAGGAGAGAGAGTAGCATGGGAATAGAAATACATGAAGAGTAAAGACGGTCTTCCTGGTTGAATTTGCGCTGAGCTTCATTAAGTAATCAACTTTCCACCAGACATATGGGGTTTGACAGAAGAGTGGAAAAGGTAGTCTGTGTTTGATGGGATGTTTTTAGTTCCTTGACTAATGGCTGTTACTTCCTGTCATGCAGCTGAGAGCTGTGGCAGTCAGTCGTAGTGTTTGCAGAGAAGATATGATGGGATGTAAAGCATGAGATCAGGACTCTGAAGCTGACTCAAAGAACAAACACTTATTTTAAACTGGATCATAACAGTTGGATTGTGTTCATCCCTACAGGATCAGAGGAGAGACGATCAGAGCCAAGATCCAGAAGACCTGTGAGTACTGAATATCCTCCATTCATCCAGATATGAGACTCTTTGATGGAGCATGTCCTCAGAGGAAAACAACACTCTGGTTTCTCTCTTCATCATTTTGGCTGTTTCTCTTCACAAGAACTGTCTATCAACACAGTGACGCGTTCACTGACACTCTGTAAAATGTAAATAAACTCTGAAGAATAAAACACATGAAAACATCAACATTATAAATACTCCGTATTACCCTCAAAATATACTTCAGTACAAGTAGAAGTACTCAGATATTTTACTTGAGTAAAAGTAGAAGTACTCAGATCTAGTAACGACAGTAAAAGTAGTCGTTGTGCAGACTGGTCCATTTCAGAATAATATATATGATATGTTTTATAATGATTGATCATGAAAGTGTTCTCAAAGCTGGTGAAGGTGCAGCTAGTTTGAATGACTTTGTATACTGCAGGGTAGCTTGTGGATTTACTCCAGGTGGAACTAAAGTCTGATTTAACACTTGGTTAGATTTCACATCATTCATCCACATCTGTGAAGTAACTAAAGGTATTAAATATTATTACATTACATTACATTACATTGCATTTAGCTGACGCTTTTGTCCAAAGCGACTTACAATAAGTACATTCGACCAGGAAGACACAACCTTGAAGAAAACAGAATCATATAAGTACATCAGGTTTCATAGAGCCAAACATTTCAAGTGCTACTCAACTGGCTGTAGATAAGCCAGTCCTTTATTGGTATAAAAGTGCTTCGTTAATCGTTCTAACGCTCGAAGTGGAGTCGAAAGAGATGAGTTTTCAGTTTGCGCCGGAAGATGTGCAAGATATCTGCCGTCCTGATGTCAATGGGGAGCTCATTCCACCATCTTGGAGCCAGGATAGCAAACCCACGTGTTTTCGCCGATGGGAACTTGGGTCCCCCTCGCAGCGAGGGCGCAACGAGTCGTTTGGCTGATGCAGAGCGTAGTGCACGCGCTGGGGTGTACGGTTTAACCATGTCCTGGATGTAGGAAGGGCCAGATCCATTCGCAGCACGGTAAGCAAGTACCAGTGTCTTGAAGTGGATTCTAGCAGTTACCGGAAGCCAGTGAAGGGAGCGGAGGAGCGGAGTGGTGTGGGAGAATTTAGGAAGGTTGAAAACCAGACGAGCCGCTGCATTCTGGATGAGCTGCAGAGGTCGGATGGCACATGCAGGTAGACCAGCCAGGAGGGAGTTGCAGTAGTCTAGGCGTGAGATGACGAGAGCCTGGACCAGAACCTGAGTCGCTTTCTGAGTCAGCTGGGGACGTATCTTCCTGATGTTGTAAAGCGTGTATCTGCAGCAGCGGGTTGTAGCAGCGATGTTTGCAGTGAAGGACAGGTTGTTATCTAGGGTCACACCCAGATTCCTTGCAGTCTGAGTCGGGGAAACAACTGAGGTGCCGATGTTGATTGTCAGGTCAAGAGTTGGACAATCTTTTCCCGGGAGGAAGAGCAGCTCAGTCTTGTCAAGGTTGAGCTTGAGGTGGTGAGCAGACATCCACTGAGAGATGTCAGCTAGACAAGCAGAGATGCGTGCGACGACCTGGGTCTCTGAGCGGGGAAAGGACAGAATTAATTGGGTGTCGTCAGCGTAGCAGTGGTAAGAAAAACCATGCGGGCTAATGACTGATCCGAGCGAGTTTGTGTACAAGGAGAAGAGGAGGGGACCAAGAACAGAGCCCTGAGGGACCCCCGTAGTTAATTGACAAGGGTCGGACTCAGACCCTCTCCAAGTCACCCTGTAGGTACGGTCTTTCAGGTATGAGGTGAGGAGGGAAAGTGCAGAGCCTGAAACTCCAAGTTTTTGGAGAGTGCGAAGGAGGATCTGATGATTCACCGTGTCGAATGCAGCAGACAGGTCCAACAGGATGATGACAGAGGAGAGGGATGCAGTTTTGGCAGTGTGCAGTTCCTCAGTGACAGCAGTGAGAGCAGTTTCTGTGGAGTGACCTGCCTTGAAACCAGACTGGTGCGGATCCAGAAGGTTGTTCTGATTGAGATAACAGGAGAGTTGTTTAAAGACAGCGCGTTCAAGTGATTTAGACAGGAACGGGAGGAGAGAGACAGGCCTGTAGTTTATAACATCAGACGGGTTGAGAGTGGGTTTCTTTACGAGAGGGTTTACTCTTGCCTCCTTGAGACTGTTTGGAAAGTGACCAGAAGTGTTGATGAAATGGGTGAGAAACGGTAGAATATCAGGAGCGATAGTCTGAAGGAGGTTTGAAGGGATAGGGTCCAGAGGACAGGTGGTAGGGCGGGCAGAGGTAATGAGGGTAAGAACCTCACTTGGAGAGAGAGGGGAAAAGGAGGTTAGTGTGTTGGTGGAAGGAAGGTCTGGTGACCCAGTGGTGAGTAAAGGTGAGTCAGAAAAAGAAGAGCGAATATCATTAACCTTTTTTTCAAAGTGGGTAACAAAGTCGCTTGACAGAAGTGAGGAGGGGGGAGGAGCTTTTGGAGGGTCCAAGAGGGTGGAGAAGATGGAAAATAGTTTTTTAGGATTGGAATAGGAAGATTGGATCTTATCTTGAAAGAAAGTGCTTTTTGCCTGAGAGATCGAAGCAGAGAAAGAGGAGAGGAGAGCTTGATAGGTTAGGAGGTCGTCACGGTGTTTGGATTTCCACCATTTCCACTCTGCTGCCCTAAGGACGGTTCTATTAGCACGCAGTGCATCATTTAGCCAGGGAGCCGGAGGGGACTGACGAGCCTGCCGAGATGTCAGAGGACAGAGCGAGTCCAGAGTGGATGAGAGAGTAGAGAGGAGAGTTTCTGCAGCAGAGTTTGGAGGCAGTAGTTGGAACGAATCAGAGGAAGGGAGGGCTGAGAGCACCGACGAGGCAAAGGTAGAGGGAGAGAGGGAGCGAAGGTTACGGCGGACAAGTGTAGGATGGGAAGAGATTAGTTTGTTATGTTTGGAAAGGGATAGAGAGAATGAAATGAAGAAGTGATCGGATGTGTGGAGCGGGTTTACAGAGAGGTTAGAAGTAGCGCAGTTCCTTGAGAATATGAGATCAAGGACATTGCCAGCTTTATGAGTCGGTGGGGACGGAGAGAGTGAGAAAGCAAAGGCGGTTAACAGAGATGTTAGTTCGTCTATCTTCCCCATCTGGAGGTTGAAGTCTCCGAGAAGTACAGCGGGAGGGCCAGTTTCAGGGATGTGTGAGAGGAGATGATCTAATTCCTCCAAGAAGTCCCCCAAGGCGCCTGGTGGACGGTAGAGAACAACAATGGTTAACTGTATAGGATGGGTTACTGTGACGGCATGGAACTCAAAGGTGGAAGGAGTAAAGTTAGGTAGCTTGAAGAGGGAAAAGCTCCATTTGGGAGAGAGCAGGAGACCAGTGCCACCTCCTCTGCCAGTGGGTCTGGGTGTATGGGAGAAGGAATATGCTGTGGAGAGAGCTGCTGGGGTGGATGTGTTGGATGGAGTAATCCAGGTCTCAGTGAGAGCAAGGAAATCCAGAGACTGCAGGGAGAAGTAGCCAGAGATGAAGTCAGCCTTAGGAACAGCTGACTGGCAGTTCCACAGGCCACCTGAAACTAGATGTTGGATCTCAGTGGAGCACGTGGGATAGACGAGAGCAGGCCGGTTATATCGATTACGAGATACACGGGGCCAGTGATAATTGCGAGAAGACACATGAACAGGAATGGAGAAAATACACATGATTATAGCATGAGGGGCTAAACAACAAAAGTAAAAATTAAAAACGCCAACGATACTTAGCTCAATCAAAGTAGGATTTGCCTCCTCTTTGCCTCCCTCGTGACTCCCGTAGGACTCTAATGTCTTTGTCAGTCTTACTCCCGTAGGACTCTAATGTCTTTGTCAGTCTTAGCCTGTCTGCCGCTGAAGCTGCCGCTCCAGGAAAGAGCTACCCGAAATGGACGCCTGATTGCTCAGTTCTCACAGCTGAAGTTAATTAGTTAACTATCTACAGCTGATGGGCGACAATAGACTGGCCCTGCCTATGTTAATAATGCAGGCTTGAGTGCTGAGAGCTGTAAAGCAGGTTTCGCCTGAGCAGATCTGAGATTTAAAATCTCTCAAAAGCGATTTAGCCGTTTTAGCTACAGTAACAATTATACAGAGTCGAATAAATGAAACCGAGAAGTCTAATTAAACAAGAATATAACTTACAGTGGTTGCTGCGTCAATAGGTAATGTTGTCACCGGGTCCAGATGCACACAAATACATGTAGTGGAGGAAAAGTACACCATGTACCTCTGAACTGTAGTGGAGTAGAAGTGTAGAAGTACACAGTAGCATCAAATGGAAATACTCAGGTAAAGTATAAGTACCTTAACATTGTACTTAAGTACAGTACTTGAGTAAATGTACTTAGTTCCTCTCCTGATCTGTAAAGCTCTCCCAACATATGCAGGTTAGCATCCGGCAGCTTCTATGTGCTGGGGACCCGTACTGTACATGTCTATCATCACACTTTGGGCTCCTCAACATGTGTGGGTTCCCAGCAGGACTCTCTGAGCTGCAGACACATTCTTTCTGTGACTTTGATCCAGATATTTGGAGCATAATAACTGAAGCTGTTTCTCCATGTTCAGGAACTCCCATCCCCCGAGTCCTGCGGCAGGAAGCGCTCCTTCTCTCCAAGAACTCCTGGACCCTGCAAGTTGGTCCAGAACCAGAGTCCCAGTGAGGAGTCCAGCCAGTCGACCTCTCAGAGTTCAACCAAACTACAACATTATTAAAGATCATGTTTAAAGTTAAAAAAGGATGCTTTCAGACTGAATCCAGAAGCTTCTCCAGCTGCAGTCAAAGCAGATCATTTGAGGAATATATAAAACAATTATAAAACTGTAATAAGAATTACTCTGAATACTTTCTTTGGACATTTTATTTACATTTATTTTAATCAAATGTTTCTGACTTTCTATCTGAGTGCTTTTCTCATGAATTAACGACTTCAATCTTCTTTCTTTTCTTGTGTATTTCATAAACAGGATATTGTTGTTTGTCCTTATATGCTGATTGATGAGTCAGCAGTACAGCAGCCAGGCGGTAACGGTCAGCTGGCATGTGTATCTGTTCATTGGCTCATATGTGTAGCATGTTTAATGGCAGTGTTTTGAAAATGGCTGCCAGGTGGATATGTCAGATCTCTGTGTGTTACTCAGAGAGCCGTGTGCAGGGTTTTAGAAAGTGCAGAGTTGAATTGCAGATTGTGTGCAGAGCTGAAAATGTGTTTAGAGTTCTGTTTGATTGAATCCAGCCAGTGTTGCCGCAGCAAAGCATAAGGGCTCAGAGCTCGGACCTATTGTGTTCACATTATATACGCTTCCTTTAGGCGATAAGGAATCACTCGGTACATTTTCATTGTTATGCAGATGATACTCAATTATACACAATATAGACAAAAGTATTGGACCACCTACACATTAGAGAGATACCGCAGGTCCTTCCTTCCTGCAGCGGTCAGACTATATAATCACCACGACCCCTAGACTTAGTTATCTCATTATAATGACTTACTATCTCATTATAATGACTTACTATCTCATTATAATGACTTACTATCTCATTATAATGACTTACTATCTCATTATAATGACTTAGTTATCTCATTATATTGACTTAGTTATCTCATTATAATGACTTAGTTATCTCATTATAATGACTTACTATCTCATTATATTGACTTAATATCTCATTATATTGACTTAGTTATCTCATTATATTGACTTAGTTATCTCATTATAATGACTTACTATCTCATTATATTGACTTAATATCTCATTATATTGACTTAGTTATCTCATTATATTGACTTAGTTATCTCATTATAATGACTTACTATCTCATTATAATGACTTACTATCTCATTATATTGACTTAATATCTCATTATATTGACTTAGTTATCTCATTATAATGACTTAGTTATCTCATTATAATGACTTACTATCTCATTATATTGACTTAATATCTCATTATATTGACTTAGTTATCTCATTATATTGACTTAGTTATCTCATTATAATGACTTAGTTATCTCATTATAATGACTTACTATCTCATTATAATGACTTACTATCTCATTATATTGACTTAATATCTCATTATATTGACTTAGTTATCTCATTATATTGACTTAGTTATCTCATTATAATGACTTACTATCTCATTATAATGACTTACTATCTCATTATATTGACTTACTATCTCATTATATTGACTTAATATCTCATTATATTGACTTAATATCTCATTATATTGACTTAGTTATCTCATTATATTGACTTAATATCTCATTATATTGACTTAGTTATCTCATTATATTGACTTAATATCTCAAATCAGGCCTCCCTCAGTAGACACACATTTAGGTGGCGCAGCGTATGTTTCGGAGAGATGTGGGATAGGCTTGACGTGTTATTGAGCTCAACCTTGTCTTCTAAGAAGGTAACAGTAAAAACGGTGCCTACTTCCAGTGGATCAAATCAAATCAAGTTTTATTTATAGAGCACATTTATAAACGATTTTTGGTCGAGCCAAAGTGCTGTACATATAATAAAAATAGCCTACAGTAGAGACAGTGGAGCCACGAGGGGTAGAGCGCTGGTTTGTCCTTGCTTCCTTTTTGTTTTGTTTTCTTTCATTTGAGCCACCGTGCCACATTAGACTTCCTCCATTCATGTAACGCAGTAAACAGAGTCGATGTGACCCTCAAACATGCAGGCCTAAAGGATATATACATAAAGATACACTATGGTCCACTCGGATAGTTTGCCATCTCCGTTCTCCACGAAATACCTTCAAAAAATGAGTTGATGTAGTTTAGCCAATTGTTTGCAAGTGTTTTGATCGAACAGGAAAAGTTTCACTGTTGTAGATATTTGATAGTGTGTGTGACGTACTATGCAAGAGGAAACAGGCCATCATCAATAGCCATAATGTCCATTATCGCCCACCTCATTAAACTTCGTGGAGTCCTCCCTCTAAAAATAAATTGCACCATATATTTGATTTCACATTTAGTTTTGACATTTTTAAACTGAGGCGCAGTACAGTGTATGTAAATCAGTTTGTATATAGAGAATTAATGATTGTAACTGTATGATGGTCTGTAGGGCATTATACTGAAACACATTGCTTACCTCAAGACTTGAGACAAATCTCTCTTTTCTCTCTCCTGACGTTTGTTTGGCCTCTCAGTCAGACTCTTTCTTTGTTTACGTTTCATTGTACCTAGGCCTTCTCTCATATTTGGACATGTTATATATTGTATAATCTACACCTGAAGCACTATGGTATAGCAAACTAACACAAAAGCTGGTCAATGTTATGTGTAATCAATTTAAAGAGGCATTTATAGACACTATATAGGCCCACACGCGCTCATCTGCAGATGATAAAATCCTTTTTTAAATGATCTATAATTGGCTGATGTTTGAAATAAAGCTGGGTTTCTTGTGGCTTCAGTGATAGTACAGTATACATGTTGCTGTGTTTGAAACACTCAGAAACAATCCAGTGGGTACAGCTACAGTCACAAACAAATAAATATATGATTGTAAAGATATACGTTTGATTAGGAGTCATAATACAGTGTATGCTTTGACCTTGGTATATATTCAGTATCCAAACAAGGCCTGATTTATCCTCTCATATTACCAACACTTATAAGTTAATATAATGATATAACTAAGTCATTATAATGAGATAGTAAGTCATTATAATGAGATAGCTAAGTCATTATAATGAGATAGCTAAGTCATTATAATGACTTACAGGATATTTATTTATTTTTTCCCTGTGGTGCAAACAGGCTTCCATACTTCTTTTATATTATTTGTATTCATAATAAAACATGTTTTTCGTCAGAATGTATTATGTTGCATTATTTACCAATTTTTGTTCTCAAAAAACAGTGCATTGTGTGTAATACAACTGTGATTTAAATTACTTAGTTTTTAAGGAAGGCCAGAGCTTCAGCTGTGTCAAATAGATTGTTCCCTTTAGTTTACGTTTTTTAAAAGACAATTATATTCCTATTTGATCAATAAAGTGGTATTGTAGGCCAATATTAGCCATTTAAAAAATGCGTGACTGCACCACGATTCCTTAACACCACATTGCGTGGTGGAGTGACGAACTTTGCTACATTTACGTGTCTGCACCACGCAAACAACCCCAATGTTAAGTGAATGAGGCTCCTTTGTCGTGGTGCACACACGCATTTCTACAACGTCCTGCAGTGAGCTTTGTATTCTATAAAACGTTTTTTAAATCTACTTTATAGCTTGTAGTAACTCACGGGAGGCTTCTTTTATTTTATTTGTATTCATAATAATTTGTATTTTTCGTCAGAATGTATTATGGTGCATTATTTATCAATTTCTGTTCTCAAAAAACAGTGCATCTCAATACAACTGTGATTTTTATTAAATTACTTACTAAAAAACACCAGATTATCCTTGTTAATTACACAACATTGATTGGTTTAAATTGTGTGCAATGCTTTTGTATTTTTCCCCTTCGATTCGGAGAAACAAATATTTTTTCGGAGTAAAGGATGGCAGAAGACACTACACTACCCAGAATCCCCAGCTATCGTTTAGGACTACACCATGTGCTCTGTTTGACAAACCCCGTTTTTTTTCACCATTCATTCCAATGGCTGGCGTCTATGTCACGTGATCTTCAAATTTCTCCCTGCAGAAGAAAAAAAAACATGGCCGAACTTCGTTTTATTCTCGGTGGAAAATGCCTATTTTAAAGTTAGTTTGGCCATTAAAATGCGTTTTGATGTCATTTGATGCGAGAAATATGAGTTGTTATTTCAGATTATGTGTGCAGTGGATTGACATGATCTTTAGTTTGCTAGTTATTACGAAGATTACTTCAGGAAATTGCGTCCATAGAACGTTTTCATTGTTACCAAGGTGGTTGCTAGGGACGCTGCTATCGATATTATTTCTGTTATGTTGTGTAACTGTTTAATGGTGTTATCTTTATTGCTACCCCCTTCCCCGTCAATGTATAGTGTTGGTCCACAGCGCAAACGTATTAGTTTAACAAAATCCGCATCTAAAGATAGCCTACGTTATTTCCCCCTGTGCAATTCCAGTCTCACATCTCACAGCACATCGTCATTAACAAATACCGGAAACAGACCGAAAACATTTAAAAAAATAAAATAATACTTTATTCCGAGTGTGCTTGCTTTTCTCTTTGGAAGTCATCACATAACGGCATTGTAATACACGGTTCGGCTGCATTAAATATTACATATCTGCCGTAGTTCTGTATTTATAGAGCCCTGATGAGAAGACTTCTAGACAAACATGAGGAACTGAAAACGTGACGTGGATCATAAATGTATCAGCCATTAAACAACATCTTACATTTCTTTTCACACAATACGTCTCCTTGCAGTATCAACACTAATTCGGCTGACTTTTATATTTGATGAAATTGGTAGATAGGCTGTATTTACACCATAAAGGTGCACAGCTGATATAAAGGGACACCTAGTGGTTAAAGCATGTTATTGAATTTCATTATTTTTATTATTAGATATTAATAGGATCCTTATAAAGTATATTCATTACTCGTTATTCTCTACTAATAGTTAATTAAAGACTGTATATAATGACTATTTTGCACATCCCTTTCAAGATTTCAAGATGTTCTAAGGTTTATTGACATATCATATAGGCCCACACAACTATGGTGTAGTTATGCATTGAATGCAAAACTTGGGTCGCAGGTTTCTCAATAGTGCATTACAAGACATCTATCAATATGTGTGCTACCTCCAGCAATGTTAACTATGTTGAAGCACTTATTTTAACTGAT